ATATTTTCCGCTAGATTTAGCGGGGAAATTTTTCCGCTAGATTTACCGGGGAATTTTTCCCGCTAGATTTAGCGGAGAAATTTTTCCGCTAGATTTAGCGGGGAAATTTTCCCGCTACATTTAGCGGGGAAATTTTTCCGCTAGATTTAGCGGGGAATTTTTTCCGCTAAATCTAGCGGGGAAAATTTTTACGCTTTCGCGGAGAAATTTTTCCGCTAAATCTAGCGGGGAAATTTTTCCGCTAGATTTAGCGGGGAAATTTACCCATAATGCACCGCGCGGTTACGCCGACGGTGACCCCGACGCCGCTCAAGCCGGAAACGGGCCCCTAAGAGCTGCGCTCTAAAAAAATAGAAGTAAGCCCACGCCGTGAATCGAACCCGGGTCCGTATGTATGAAGCACACATCGTACCACTAAGGTATACGCTACCGCTTTGGAAACGAGCGTTGCAACCGCTGCCTAAATTGGCGGCGGCAGCGCATATCTCCACCAACCATCCAATCCGGTGTGAACGTCGTTGCCGGGGTGTGTATCGCCTGCGCGTTAACAATATGCCACCGCGGTTCGGAGGGCGGTGCCTTTGGTATCCCTTGGGCGCGGCCGGCAAGTGTTTTTTCCTGCCCAGTGGCGGCTGATTCAGGGAGGGGGGGGGGGGGGCAAAACACATGCTTTGCCCCCCCACTCTGAGAAGTGGGAGGGGAGCAAGCCCTCCCCCCCCCCCCACGGTTGGTACGCCAATGGCTGCTGATTGTACCCCGAACCGGTTAGTTTCGGGTTTTTTTTTTCGCACAAGGAGATCAGACACTCTTTCGAGTGAGTCGCGGGAGTGAAATCTGGGCTCTTTGGACGCGACGCCATTCCGTCTTTTGGTAGATTATTTCGCAACATTATGACAGAACTCCATGAAAGAAATGTATGGCATATGTCGTTTTTGTGTTGACGATATAAACAATCTACATGCAATTTGGAAATGGCATCGTACGAAAAATCTCGGAACACGGAAATAGCCGAAAAACAAAGCGCTTAAAACGTTTGTTGTTGTTTTTTTTCTTTTTTTTTTTTATCTGGTGCGAATGGGACAAAGGGCCCGCTTTGCGATGGCTTTGGAAGCCCACACCCCTCTCCGATATCCTCTTTTTAACTACCGAACAATAAACAGCCATTCTCGCAGCTCTCAGGAGGCGCCCTACTCGAAACAACCTTCCCGCTTCGGCCATCTTTCGTTATCAATTGGGTCGGTTCGTTTGTATTGTTCGTTAATAGTTGGTTAGGTTCAAGTGTCCAATGTCTGTCCTCCTTGCTCCCCCTCCACTTCTCCCTCTCCCGAAACAACCTTGGAGACATGGCACCGTAAGATAAAAGCTGTGTCAGGGAGAGCTCACCCGAGCATTAATGGCTTCATCGATCTGATCAAACGGGATGAGGCCTACACAAGACATAATTAAATATAAAACAACGCAAATACGAGAAGTATTCCAGAGCGAGTATTTTTTTTTTCTGAAAAGGACCGCCGTGTTTAAATAAATTAGTAAGCTAAAAAAACTTTCAAATGGGGGCGCAGCGGCGCTACCCTTTTGATGGCTTCCTGGGCGGCATCTCAGCTCGCCTATCCCCGGTCCTGGTATAAAGTCCTGGATATCGAAAAAATATGATGCTCTTTTTTTTCTTTGGGGCTAATTTGAAAGAGCAACTATTTTCTGCGGTTGCGGTCGTCACGAACGTTTACAGTTAGGGTCGATAGGTCCTTATCAGTGCTCCATTTTCTTTTTTTTAGTAACTGTCGCTAAGCCCAGTTTGCACGCTTAATCACGTTCGAAATGTGTCGTTAGCCTACTGTGGTCCTTATTGATTCGTGTTCCCTACACCGCGGCTTCGACTTATCATGAATAGATCTATTCTTTTCACCCATAAGAGCGTCGCCTCTTTTACTATTAATTACACTAAACTCGGTCCTAACACTTCTCCACCAGATAACCTATCCTTGTAAGTAATTTTTTTATCAATTTCTTCATGCCCGGACTGATTCGTGACCCACCTCTAATATCCCTGCTTCAAGTGCGCTTGAAACTGGGTTTTAAGGGCTTTCAGAACAAACTCATGAAAGAATCAGAGAAATCGGCTCGCAATCTCCACTCTGCGCATAGCTCAACAGAATGCACTGGTTCGCCGACTTTCTAAAAGAGTTAAATCGGAGAACCTTTTGCAGCATTCCCAAGAAGGGGTATACTGTAAGTTAATGCATTATACCCCATTTTCTTGGGAGTACCTCTAAATACTCCAAAGTGTGTATCCGTTCAGATGAGCAAAAAAGTTGTCGACACCTGGTGACCTCACTCAAATGAGTGTTTTATTCAATCAGTTTGTTGCAAATCCCTTATGGTCGTGCAAAACATTACTACATTATTTGGGAAAAATAGAAAATAAAAGAGAGCGCAGTCAATAAAACCAGTTTTCAAATAATGATCATGCAACAAATCTTACAAACTAATAACTCGCAAAGATGTTAAACGGTTGTCTGAGTTCATATCCTCGGCCTTTCGCTGTGGAATGAGTGATATTCAAATTGGCGCAAAAGTAACATTCGTTCACTTTTGAAAGTAACCATAACGGTATATCGTTACGTTCGTAGGACGGTAACGAATATCAGTAGCCCGTTAAGTTTTGACAATAGGGAATTGTAGTAGACCGTTTCCGCAGCCCCCTAAGCACCCGGATAGCGCTCCGTAATCCACCACAAGACCTTGAACTATGCAGAGAAGGCTGGTGGCGCGCATGCGCAGCTGCGCCGTTTTCCTCGGGGATACCGTAGCGGAGAGGAAAAACGATCTACTACAACTCCCTAATCTAACGAGTGACTCTATTTTGTTACATGTTTTCAGTAACGGGCACACCGGTGCTTGGGTCCCACTGGTGCAGAAAGCCCAACACCCAACATCGGAGCACGGCCCCTTGAAGTTGACAGTGCGGTGGGAGCTACGCGTTTGACGAACCAGACAACCAACTCGTTTTCATCTCCTGACCACGCACTCTGCGTGGATATGGCTGGGAGCACGAACATGCTCGTGCTCGTAGGTTCTACCACTAAACCAGCTTCCGCCCTTTGCACCTGCCACCAATGAAAATGTTTAGCGTTCAATATAATTGGGTAAGTAATTTTGAATGAATAAATTGCACATTATTGATTTGAAGGGCCTGGTTTCAAATAGAATCTTGCTGTTATGATCGAAAACTACTAAAAACACCCACGCGGCAATGATATGAGGCACGCGCAGCATTCTACGACGTTCCGAAGAAATGCTCAATTTGGACGCGTATGTAGGTTTCGGTTTCTCATCGAAGCACATCTCTGTGCCGGCGATCCCGCCCCCCGTGTCTAAGACGCGCAACATGCGTGCGCCGCCACTCATCGCGCGTAGAGAAGTCTACATAAGAAAGCTTCCGGACAGTCACATGAGGTCCGCCTTTTTGACATCGGTGCCAGAGTGAAGACACTCCTTCACGAGCAATGCGTGGCGGTGCACGCACGTTGCGCGCTTTAGACACGGGGGGCGAGATTGCCCACGTGGAGATGCTCTCCGATAAGAAACCGAAAGCGAGATACGCGTCCAACTTGAGCATTTTTTCAGAACTCCCTAAAATACTTAGCGTGCCTCATGCCATTATAACATGGGTGTCTTTAGTCGTTCTCAATGATTCTGAGCAATGTTATCTTTGAAACCACCCCTTTAAAACAAATATTTGACAATTTAAGTACTCGGAGTTTATTAATTATCCCATTATATTCAGCTCTAGCAATTTTCTTTTGACAGACCGCTACGGCATCAGGCTTCTTTATTGTGCGATGCGTACTTTCTGCAGTAGAACTTTTGCCCGTTTTTTTTTCTGGAAACACCCTATATGTCAGAACAAATATTTTATACGTTTGGGAACACGACTCCGCCTCCATCAATTCTGGCGCATCAGGCAATAGTGACAACCACTGTACAGTCAGAGCAGATTAAGACATATTTAGATGGATTATACATATGTAGTTTTTAGATAGGACTAGCCGGTATTCGCCATCTCTCTGTGCGTGCTACTCCACCGGCTAGTTCTATGAAGCGCAGAGAGCAGGCCATGGCGTTGCGCTTTTTGCGCTGTTTTATTGGTCCTCAGGCTCACAACATCGTCCGCGCTCGTACCTAAGGTGCAACGAAGTATATATGAACATCAAATGAATAGCACTGAAAGTATGAATATCGTAAATGATGAGGACCGTCTTCGTGAATGTGCAAAAAAAAAAAGAATAAAATCATGCAAAAGAAAAACATACATACTAGTATTACATGTAGCAAGCACATTGAATGATGTCATCAGAATTCAGATACTCAAACTGATCAAAAACAAAAAGGGCGAAGAATATTACGAAATGAGATAGGAAATTACACTGCATTTCTAAATCTTCGAGTCATGTATATTATGTTGCAGTCCTATGAGCACAGCATTAGTTTCCAGCTTGGTGTGTTAAACAGTTTCAAATATAGTTTTATTTTTACATCTTAAAGTTATGTTGAACCTTCCACATTACTCGGTTTTTCTTATACTTTCTTAATTTTGAAATATTCAAGCTTGCTGCTGTTGAAAGACTTTAGTTATTTTATGAGTTCGTATATTTATGGTCATGAGTAGGCCGACTTGTGAGGAACGTAAGTGACCCTACAGACAACCCAGAGACTCCAGGTGCATCACGTGATTAATGAGTCTAAATGATTAAAAAAAGATGAGGCTTTAAGTATTTTCTTTTTTTCGGGTACAAAAAAGAACTCTGGTCCCTTACTCTAAGGTAAATTCACCTTTTTTAGCTGTGTTTACGCGATTAGTAAGAGGCGGAAAGATTTTGAACCATTCGAAATCTGCACTGCTAGCAAGTAGAACCCCTGCAGGTCTATCGCCAAACGAAATGAACACACGTCGGTTCTCGAGCATTTCGTTTAAATCCCGTCCACAACTATGATGCACGTTACTGTTTCGATCCCTTGCGATGTATCTTCCGATGTTGGTGTAAACCGCTATTAGCCGCAAACGATCTACCGCAGGTCTCGCACCTGTACGGCTTTTCTCCTGTGTGAGTCCTCTTATGAACCGCCAAACTGCTTCTCTGAATAAATGTCCTGCTGCACGTGTTGCAGCTGTACGGCTTCTCTCCTGTATGAATTCTTTCGTGATCCGCCAAGCTGCATTTATGACTAAACGCCCTGCTGCACGTGTTGCACTTGAACGGCTTCTCTCCGGTGTGAATTCTAACATGAGCTGTCAAGCAATCCGTACGCGCAAACGTTTTCTCGCAAACACCGCAACTGAAGGGCCTCTTGCCAGTGTGAGTCCTCTCGTGGATGGCGAGATTTCCTGCGGAAGAGCTTGAGTGAGGACAGAAGCGGCACGGGTGCTTGTCCGGTTGTCGGTGCGTTTGCGGCTTCTGTGGGCCCGACCAGTTGGTGGGGGGAGAGGTGTCGCCCCTGCAGCTGTCAGGGTCAAAAGTATCCACCTTGTCGCCATAGCCTGCTCCGTTCCAGTCTGTTGGGATGACACGACAGAGTAAGAAAGGTCGGCGCATTTTTAATTGTTCTGAACATGGTCCAGAATACCTACATTATGCCGGTGCGGCCTACAGTGTGTATTCGTTCATTTGAGATGTTAAAAAGGTTCATTCGCAAAGCTTGTAAATGTCTACAGGCGGTCGTTTAAGACTCGACTCTGGCAGCCCCATGGTGCTGCAGCTGTGGTGGCTTGCACGTTCTGCTAACCAAGTGCGGAAGGGAAGTCAAGCCGCCGCGGTCGCTGCTGCACAGTGTTGGCGGTAACGTGTTACGAGTAACGTCGTTACCGGTAACGCCTTACTTTTTTTATTAACACGGTAACGCAATCGTTACTTTTCCGAGACATTTACGGGCAATGTACTCATGTTAGTGGGTAACATAATTACGTCACTTATTACATCTTCCGAAAACTTGAAAAATGATGTTAGGTCAGAACGAGCGGGTTGGTAGGGATAATTAAACTTGAAGAAGAAAACGTTTGTCACTCCCTTCTTGTTTTCTTCCTCAAGTTTAATTGAAAAACGAACACCTGTAATGTTTGCCAGTTTCTATACTTCGTTTTACCTGAAGTAAAGATGCAGCTGACGCTACAAGCTGATGGAAATTATCAGAGAGGGAAAAGGGAACGATCATGGTGTTCTCTGTGTTTCTGTACGTGTTCAATCTTAGCTGAAATAAACACACAAGGCCAAGTGACTTTTGATTTTGACGCTGATTGATTTGTCCGATTAGCTCATAGCGTCGGCTGCGTCTAGATTCAAGCTGAAACATAGTATGTGATCCAAGTAAATAATATTTCACTCATTCTACGTGTTTTCTAAATATTTCCTCTCTTTTTCTCACGCAAAAATTTCCACTTTAGAAGATCTCCAACGCCCGTGCCCGTCATCCGAGTGTCGAAAAACGCTGTCACCAAAATAAAACAAAAACGCCTGTTACCGCCAATTTCTAAATAAAACGTAACGCAAAAGTAACGTGCACTACTTTCTGTCGGTAACAGTAACGCGTTCCTTTATTTCACAAGTAACGAATAACGTATCTTTCCTGTTTTACGGTAACGCCTAAAACACTGCGGCTGCATAACGCTGCCAGTACGGAGCGCTGGGTGATAGGATGTTGACATTCGTAATGATTGTGACTGAGTATTAAGTAGCGCTAGAAGGGTCGTTCACACACCCACAGATTATTATGTTACACAAAATAGCATTCAATAGGCTCGTAGAATAATCGTTGTGTTGCTTTGAAACTTGAAAAAAACGCTAAGGTACACAGCGATTATTTTACGAGCGACTTGAAACAGCGAAAAACGCTATTTCAAATCAACATTGCTATGGACATTTGCCAGTCTAAAGCTAAACTTTGGCGACGCAAATAATGCTGTCAGAAAATATTCAATCATTTCAGACACAGAACATTTATTGGGCTATTTCATTCATTAAAAATCAGTTATAGTGTTTTCACAGCTACTCGATCAACCGAAACTAAAAGAAAAGACTTTTTTTTAAATAAAAAAACTCAACACGGTACAATTTTTTGATATCAGTCATCAAATATGGTGTAGCAATTGAAACTTCCGAGCGCTCGGACTGAATGTTCTTCCAGTAAAGCCCAGCTTGATTGTTTACTTTCACTTGAGTTGTCGTTCTCAAACTTTAGAATATAACTCCTTTATCCCCCCCCCCCCTTTTGCTAAGAAAATAAACTTTGCATTGTGTTGTGGTGTACTTTTCTGCTCGGTGCAGGGCGCTAACCTAACCTTACAGAACTTTCTACGCGAAAGAAACTTATGTACCACATCTGACTCCTTAGAGTTTCCACCTTATTCCACAAAATAGCATTCAATAGGCTCGTAAAATACTCGTTTTGTACCTTAGAAACTTAATAATTTGCGAAGGCACAGAGCGATCATTTTACGAGCAATCTGAACCAGCGAAAAACGTTGTTTTAATTCGACATTCGAATGCACATTTTCCAGTCTAAAGCTAAAGCTAGGTGTCACAAATAATGTTGTGAGAAAATATTCAAGCATTTGAAACAGAGAAACCTTTTTGGGTTATTTTATTCGTCAAATAGAATTTATATCATTTGTGAGACCTACTCGATCAACCGGAACTAAAGGAAAAAATATAATTTGTGTGATATAAATACGCAAATCAGCATGGTACATTTTTCCGATATCAAAAACTGAATGTTTGTTCAGTTGAGCCCAGCTTGTTTGTTTACTTTCGCCATAGTTGTAGTACTCGGACTTCGGAATGTAACCCCTTTATCCCACGGGAGGAAAACTTTGTGTACCACTTCAGACCCCTGACATTTTCCACCTTCTGGAAAACCAAGCTTACAAAAAGGTTTTTAATCCGTGTGGAACCAACCGTTCATGAATATGTGAGGGTGTGCTAAGAAGGTGCGAGGCTGGATGAGTGTTTTCCCGTGTGCGTCTTCGTATACCTGGTGTTAGTTCTCTGGGCGTCATAAGATTGGGGGCAGAAGTCGCACCGCCGTCCGTCCAACTCTGCGGGTCCATCTTGCACGGTTGCCTCCGGATTTCAACTCCTTGGAAGGAGAGCTCCGCGCCCCTGTCCTCGCAGTCCGTTCTTTGCCATTCGTTGTCGGATGCTGCGTGGGAAATTTCTGTTAGGAGTGAAGACAAACTTTTATTTGGTTGCATTCTTTTTATGCATACTACACCAACAGATGAGCCCAACCAGAACAAACTCCAAGAACAAGCAAACAGAGACACATCGTGCAGATAAAGCAGAGAAATTCAGTTGTTTACATTCGTATTGCGGTGTGATTCAAAAGTTAAAATAATCAAAGCACGAACAAACACGCGCATCATAACTGGATATTGAACATCCCGAAAAGGTCGATTGTAAAAAATGCACGTGAACAAAACTTAAAAGCAATACTTCTCTATTAACCACGTACTACAAATGTTTCACTTCACCTTTAAACACTCGCTAAAGATTACGTCGAAACAATCCCACACAAATCGAGCAAGACACAACTGGATATGATCAAGGAGCATTGTTTAGTTACGTCGCTCCTGCTCTGTAATTCTGGAGAAAGGCAGGCATGACACAAAACCAACTGTACGGTATTTTACCGCCATAGGTTTTGGGAATTACACGTCAACAAAAACGGATACTGTGTGTCGGCGAACAAAGCTATGGAAGGAATAAGGTCGCAAGTAGTTGGCTGAGCTGTGGCCATTCCTTATTGGATCCGACTAGTTGGTCCCATTAATCTGGGGAAGTCTAAGCCCAAAGGTCTGGCACTGCCAAAGTTGAGCTGGGCTGGTGGCTGGCCTCGGTCTGCAAAGTTTAGAAGAATGGGTATTAATAAACAGTCGCCAACACAAAGTTACTTTACCTGCCCTCAAATATCATCACATTGGATGAGTGAAACTAAAACTGAAGGATACCAGTCCTTGGAATTGGTCCAATTGGCTATTCATTACTTCATTAAACTGCGCAGTAAATGATTAAGAATTCCGACGCAGAGACGAGAAAAAAGAAGGCAACAAACGGGAAAACGCGCATTTGCAGTTCAGTTTAATCAAGCAAAAAACTAAAGGCCACTTTCGAAATTAAACAGGACATGGATGACAACACCATTTATCAGTAGGAGGGTACCTGCCAGACATTTCAATCTGAAGGACGCGAAAAAAATAAGTACTATGGGACTACACCATTTCCAAGTGTGAATGTTTTGGCCAAATAACACTGACCATTTCTATTTCCACGAGAGATGTTTCATTATATATGCAGGGTCAAACCGCTAGCGAGGAGGAAAATGTGTGCCGGTTCTGTCTGTGCCACATCCACGCGACTAATGTCACCATTTATAAAATGATATGCAGTGCAGATCAATCATTCAGGCTCGCATTCTGCCAAAAACTAACATAAGCGGGGCCCACTTAGGAAGAACGAGTTTTAGCTGAGATACTTGGTTCACGTTCACGAGTTCCCCAAAAAACCGCATTGGTAAAAAGCATTTTAGATCATCCAGAATTTGACCATAAAACGTTATAATTTGGTTAAGGGATCTCTAGTATAAATGCATCACCATTCAACACCAGTACAAAGTTTACAGTCCTTATTGCAACGCAAATGTTTGTTTTCTCCTTTTTATTTCTTTTAACTCAAGACAAGTTTGAGTGGCTTTCTCCTCTTGATCTTAAGAGAAGGTGAAACGCTTCTTCCGAAAAATAAGATAGAGGTTGATTTCTGCGTTGTTTGATCCCGTAATTCTGAAGATTTCGTTTGTTTTCCCCGAAGATGTAACTAAACGCGAGAACACACGAAAGACCCCCGACCAGTCGTTACGTCATAAAAGAATCTTCCGGCCGCCAAGCGTGTGTCGCTCGTGAACTATTGCAGGCTCGCCACTTCCCCGCACTGGCAGCAATCATGACGTCTTTTTTTTCCCCTTTTTAAAAATAGCAAGAGTCGCGTGCATAACTTCGATAGGCACTGAAGATGCGCGAGAGCGGAGATTCCGGAAGCTCCTTTTATGATGGCACGCTCCGGGAAGGAGGGGCTTCAGCGGTACTTTCAAAATTATTTTCTGCTGCCTTCGTGCATGAATTTGAAAAATAATTTAAACATTGGGCTTCCTGGAGGGCAAATTAAGACAATTTAAGTGTTTCCTCAATTACGAAACCGCTTCAGCTTCCCTTTGAAGACGTCTTATCTTCGAGACCGCCATAGCTTTACACATTTCGAATCCCTCGTTAGTTCGTTCGTAGTTTTGTTTATGCATTTTTAACAACTTCTACCCATTTCCTCTGTAAAGTATTCCCGGACCCTGAGGGCATGGTTCAGGCTGGAACATGGCTCTTATTACTGATTGTGTTCAGCCCTGTTCCGCCAGCTTTTCAAAACCAACTTTAGGGGTCGGTCTTGGTACCTGGTGAGAGCGATAGCATTCTCGCTTACTGATTGGACATGACGCCTCAGCGTTTTGCTCTGCGAGAGTTATCGACAAGTGCGAAGTCATGTCACTAGATAATCTC